AATTAAATAATTTTATAAATTAATTAACTTCATCACAATGGCAGGAGGCCTTAGTTTACAAGTTTCAAGTTTATTACTAAAAATTTATATTCCAAGAGAATATTTGTGTTTATATTTATTTATGAATACATGAAAAAGAAAAAAAAATGGGTAAAAATAAAATAAAAATGATGTTTTTTTTGGTAAAAAGGAGATAATATAACAAGAAACAAAAGAGTTACAGTCTGGGGTAGCAAACCCCTACACAATCAGCCATAGACAACAAGTCCACATCCGGTGGACAATCAACCAAAATATGAAAAACATGAGGGACCATAGCTCCCTTTTTGGCAACAGCATCAGCAGCCACGTTGCTTTCCCTCATCACATGTTTCAGTTGAACTTGGGGAATGGTGCGCAAAAGGTCCCTGCAATCCATTAACAGCGTGCTGTGAGGATGAAACGGACTATGATCCTTTGATAAAAGAACATAAGCTACCTGACAATCAATCTCCACAATAACATTTTGCAGTCGAAGGTTTTTAACAACAAACAGTCTGTTCCTAATAGTCCAAAATTCAACAACAAGAGCAATAGTGTAACCAATATTTCTAAAAAAATCGACAACCCATAAACCCTTAGAATCTCTTAGAATTCCCCCACAACAAGCATAACCTGGATTCTCAACCGTAGAACCATCGGTATTAGTTTTATACCAGAGGAGGTAATGGTTCCCAGAAAATGAGTTTAATGCAGTGTTTACCTGTAACACAAGAAATAGGAGTGGATGTTACCACTACTACTACCCAGTCTTGCTACGGAAAGATGGAATAACGGTAGCATTTGTCGTACGGTAGTATTTTCTTAAAAATATTTTTTTTTCTTGTCTTCTCCAAAAAGTAAAAATAATAAAAAAATAAAAGGTTAAATCTTCAATTTGATCCTTAAACTATTGTATAAACTTTTGATTTGGTCCTCAAACTAAAAAAATTTCTAATTTGATCCTTAAACTATTGTACGAACCCCTAATTTGGTTTTACTGTTTACCAAATTTGCCCTAAGTTGGTTCCTTCGTACAAAAAAAACTGACATGCCTGTTATTTAATGATGAAAAATAATAACTTAATAACAAAAAACAGTAACATAACAGTCACGTGTCACGTTAATAATAAAACATATCATTTAGTTTTTATACGAAATGACTAACTTGAGGTAAATTACTAAACAATATAATCAAATTAGAGGTTCGTACAATAGTTTAGGAACTACGTGTCACGTTAATAATAAAACACGTCAGTTGGTTTTTATACAGAAAGACTAACTTGAGGTAAATTAGTAAATAGTAAAAATCAAATTAGGGTTCGTACAATAATTTAGGAACTAAATCAGAAGTTTTTTTAATTTAGGATCAAATCTGCAGTCCGTATAATAGTTTAGGGACTAAATTAGGGATTTAACCAAAATAAAAAGTGAAATGGAAAGGAAAGACAAGAAAAGAAAAAAAAAACAAACAAACAAATACAGTCCATCTCTCTCCTACCTTCGGCCAGCGATTAGAGGGGGTGCTTTTGCTTTTTCTTCTTCTTCTTCTTGCCCTCCATCCAATACAATACCAATATCAATTTTGATTCCAGATTCTAGGGTTTCAATCGCGGAGAATTGCTCTTCTTTCTTCCTTTGTTAATTCCTCCTTCCATTCTAGGGTTGTGGTCCTCTATAGATCTGGCTTCCGAGGACGCCCGATTCGCTTTTCATCATGTTTTGGCGTATGGCTGGATTGTCCGCTTCCTCTCCTGTCAGTACTTTCCTTTCAATACATATATATATACCCTCTATTCCTTCGTCTCAATTAATTTAATTGTATCCAACAGTTTGGTTTCTACAAATTTGGATGCCTACAAATTGTAGGGAATTCCCACATTTTCTTTCTTCAATTTACTTTCTTTTGGGGTTATTAGGGATAATTATTCTACTTTTTATAAGCACTGAAACTGGGGACTTGGCTTATTATCTTTTTATATCATTCAGTTTGGGGTATACTGTGTGTTTCCTTATCAATTTTTTTCCAGTCAGCTTAAAAGATTCATTCTTTTTTCCATTGGCAATTTATGGTGTCATTGCAGGTGGAGGCTATTCTGGATAAGGAAAATTTTACTTTGGAGGAGCTTCTCGATGAGGAAGAAATTATTCAAGAATGCAAAGCCTTAAATACCCGCCTTATCAACTTGTACTATTTTCTATTGCATCTTTGTTATTTAAGCTTTTTCTAGCATTCTCATCCAATCTTTACATGTGAAGTGAACTAATCATTTCTGTATTCCTTGCTATAGCCTATAGCCCCACAGAATTTCATTGGTATAATTCTTGTCTTTTGGATTTTGATTCTCTTGCAACTTTGCTTTTTTGTCAGTTTGCGAGAGAAGCCTCAGGTTGTACAATTAATTCGATATATTATGGAAGAACCTCCAGAGGATGCTGAGAATAGGCGGAGTTTCAAGTAGGTTTCTATTGATTGGAGCTATCTTCTACCAGATTTTCTTTCATACTTATATATATTGAGTTCTTAATACTTATTTATGCAATTGTAGGTTTCCATTTATTGCTTGTGAGATTTTTACTTGCGAAGTTGATGTCATACTCAAAACTGTAGTTGAGGATGAGGAAGTAAGGAATTGATTTTTTTTTTTTTTTTTTCATTCCTTTTTGCACCTGTATTTTACTTTCTTAGAACGTACAAGGATAAGCTTTTTGGCCTTCATTGCAGTTGATGA